ATGCGAAGACCTGATCGACACTCATAACAAAAACTCAGTGATTGGTACTGTGTGTACCTGCTCCTTTCCTCTTGATTGTAGTACACAAGACCGCTAGTTCTGTTGGCATACTCGAAATACCGTAGTCTCTCATCTCAAAAACTCACGTTATTGTACTCTCGCAGAGATTCAAGCTTACCAGTAAGAGGAACATTCACTCCCGATTCGTAGATATATTTCGCTCCATTTTTGATAGCATGAATATACCCATCAATTTTTCCTTCAATATTCAACGAAGTGTAATGCTGTGCTTAGTAATACATTATCTAAACTGATCATCAACCGAGTTCATACTGACTTGCTTGCACTGCTCCAAATTTTTCACGCTGCTGTGTGTGATAATAAATCTTAGCCGAACTCCAATTTGTCATTTGTTTTTCTACTCCCACAACTACGACATTCCACTCCCGGAAGGTCGACGAAGTCTCAAAATAACTCCGATATTGAATATAAAACGTAGTTAATCAGAGAGAATGAGTAAGGAAAATAAAATGCTAAGGTTCAAGGTTATTTCCGCTACTTCCTGCCTTGAAAAAGTGTCTTGGAGTTTCATTCTCGAACGTGACCTGTTTTTGGAAGTCGAAATTGTAATTTTAAGACAGCGATTTGTGTGTCTTAGCGAGATTTGTGATTGATTCTATTGAGTTCACAAAATAGTCTTATCCACACCCTGATTCCGTCAACGTCTGAGCTTCGAGTTATCACCATCCATTTGTCTGCATGGCCTCTGAGAAGTAGATTGCTGCTGAAGAAGTGGAGTAACGTGAGCCGAACTAATAGTTTACAAGAAAAGCACCATTAATCGAAGCGATAAAAAAAAAGCTGCTAAGCGTAGTATCAAAAGCCACTAGCAGCTGCACCTGTAGAAGCTCTTTTAAGGAAGACTGTAGAGTCACAGACAAATTTTAGATCGTCTGTGAGCAGCGCTCATTTACCAAAAAACATATTCAAACTACATATTTTTCAAAAGGCGTTCCGTAGATATGAGTGCTGTTTCAGAATAGGCTTCGTCACCGCATTCATACATCACCCAAAATGGTCGCTACGACTAAATGTGCTTTCCTTGTTACTGAACACCCTTACTTTCTCTCAAAATTTTCTGAGCACTGCGTAGTCGAACCTGTTGGCGACACATTGACTAATTCTGCAGAATCACTGTATAGATCAGAGTGAAGAACATGAGGGGTAAACAAGCTGGAGAAGAACAGTTTCAGCCACGGAAGAATTGCAAGCATATGCTAAACCATACAGTAGATACTAATGCATCTATTTTCAACACTGCAAATGTTCGCTAGTTTCTAGAATCGACGCACAAAGTAAGTTAGAAAATTCTATGAGTTGCACTTCTGGATTTTTTTATATCCTTGTATCTTTTTGTAAGCAAAATGCAACAGGAAAAAGAATTGAGCAAAAGATGTTGTGTTGAATCGATTCAAAATGGATCAAAAATAGTGAAAAAAGAAAGCAAATGCAATCTTCGCCACCAAAAGAGAAAACAAGTCTAAAATTGAACGTTGTTCTAGATTTTTACGGCTGATTACTTCACGTCAAGAACTTGCTAGGAAAGAGGGGCTATTCCGTTACTAGTGTCATTAGCGTCGCGAGCTACAGGATGACAATAACCAGCGTGCACAGAACTGGGGGCAGCAAAGCTTTTAATTGTTTTCAAAACTCCAAAATATCTTCTATAAGTTACATCAAGCGTGAAAAAAATTGTTACAAAATTACCCAAATAAGACAACTACGTTACTATGAAGGACAGATCTCATCTGGGTGTCTTTAATCACATGATGTATAGTAAATGTATTAACATTGTGAACACTATCGTACAGAAGGTCCAAAAGTATGTAGCCACTGTGATCGTTGATATCTTTCTTCCCAAGGATCTTGCCTACCTCTAGGTATCATTTTTTTAGAAGTGGCTTTACCCCCTATCATGAAGTTATTTGTATCGAGAGATTGAACGCGATGACTGAACCAAAACGAAAGCCAGAGTTCGTCGTTTAGAGTCCATGTTTGGCTGTCTCTTAACCTTGGCATGGTGGGTACTCGTAAAGGATATTCGTCGACGACTGCTCCGATTCGTGCAATTACACCACCACGGGCGCGCCTTCCTGGAGCCTTTCCAGCTT